TTGATTATTAACATTTAAATATCTCATAGAAACACAGAAAACAGAGCGAGTCAGAAGGGGTCTCCCGGGCCATCTAGTCTGACCTCCGGCACCAGCCGGCTCCGCTCACGACATGCCCACCATGTGGGCGTCCAGCCTTATCTCCTTATCTGCTAAAAAGCCATCCAGGCAGTAGTCATACATTCTTGCCATAAATTCTCTTCTATAGCTGTCTGACATAGAACATATAATAGGGTGCTGCTTTAAACCAAATCAGCCTTGCCTATATTAACTGGTAGTGCCTCTTCAGGCTTTCAGTCCTACCTGGTAATGCCAGAGATTGAAACTGAGACCTTTTCCAGGCAAAATGATACATGCAAGTGCGTTGTTGTGACTGACTGGTAGCACTCCCAGTCCCCACCCTGTTTAAGTAACCTCCACTGTAAGAGCTATTTAGTAACTGTAAGGGCTTATCCCCTTCAGCGTGGTATTCAGCTACCCATAGTAGTGGCCAGAAAGTCTCCTCCTTGTAAAATCAGAGAAATTTCTCTGTTTGGCTGCAGAATCACTGGGGAAAATCTTAGCTAACTGAGGGCATTCTGTTCCTAGAAGCATCTTGTTCTATCCTTTAACTTTCCCCCAAAGTGTTGAAAGATGGTATGATAGAGGCACCATTGGCCATAGTATGTGCATCTGTCTCACTGCCTGTAGATGGATGTTCTCTCTGCCTATGTCTCATTTCACCATCAACAGAGTTTAATAGGGTTTCCCTTACATCTTGGCTGTCAACAAGGCTAACTTTCAGGTCTTATAGATGGTTCTTCCTGGCTTCTGTGTAGTGGCACTCATTTATCTCTCATTCTTTGCAGAAACCCTAAAATGGGACACTACCAAACCCTAATGAATAAGCTTGTCTGAATGTCACAGCACTGGTTTAGAGGATACATTTTAAAATAATGGAGGAGGAGTTGGATGTGAATGATAATGCAAATTCACTTTTAGTTTCTAATGAAAGCCACCCTCTCCATTTCCATATAATACAAATTGCTAGGGGGACAGATCAAGGCTTCTGTTTCTGCCCTGTGGTGGTGGTCTGTTGTAAAGATTCTATCCATTACTTAAGTTCTCTTTTAAAAGGTTTCAGTGCCTTAGTATCTTGTCTACTGTACAACAGTGAGGCTGAAAAGCATGTAACTTCCCACCCTTCTCAGAAACACAATATAATTAAATCATATTACCTAGTTTTACAAAAATAAGGGAGGAAGGATATTTTGTGGTTGTTCCAAGTGCACTCAGTGAATAATTGTATACACTTATTTTAAAGATTAACTGGTGCAGGGTTGTTTTCCTTGGCACAGACCCTCTTAAGGGAAGTGTGTGGTTTATATGCTGTTCTAGCATATTAACCATTTAACTGATGGTTCACCTTGAGACTGAAACCATGTTCCTGATTATGGATTTTTAGAGGTAACAAGAGCATGGAGCTGGGCTGCCTCATTCATCAATCAAAACATGCAGGAGAACTCCATACCATGCAGATGATACCCATTCATAGATGATCAGTCACGTATGCCAAATATTGCACATGGATGTACAATAAAATTCAGTGTATCAGCTGAGCCTTCAGCTGGATTTAGAAAGGATGTCTGATATTTCAAATAATTTATCTGAGTAATTCAAGAGTTATGAGCAAGGTGAATCCAAAGCAAAATGCAACAAATCAAACATAGGTACAGGATGGAGGATAACTAGTCTGGCAGTAACACGTGTGAAAAGCATCTTGGGATTGAAGTTAATAAGATGTTGAACATGTGTAAACAATGTGATACAGCTCCAGATAAAGGCTAATACAATATTAGGCTGAATTAATAGAATTAGAGTTTCCAAGTTTCCATGAGAAGTAATGGTTCCACTCTGTTCCACACTTGTCAACCTCATTTTCAGTGCTGGGTTGGGATGGATTCAGAGGAAGGCAAAAGAGGTGTCCATTAATATGGAAAACAAGTCCTGTGTGAAAACTTTAAAGGAGCTGAGTCTGTTTAGCATGGAAAAGAGGCAACTTTGCTACCCCACAGAGCAGGACTATATCTACTGACCTTAGATTACAAGATAATAGGTTTGGGTTGAATATAATGGAAGGAGAGTTCAACAATGGAACCTGAGGGCTGGTGGGCTCTCTCTTGGTGGAGGTCTTCAAGCAGAAGCCAGACAGCCACCTGTCAGAGATATTCTGAGTCAGGATTTCTTGCATCTGAACTGCAGCTTGGACTAGACAATCTACAAGCCTTCCTCCAATTCTCTACTTCTTTTTCAGCTTTCATAGAGTTACCAGACTAGCCCAGTGTTTCCTTCTAAGTCCAGCATTGAAATAGGCAATGATGCAGCCCAAGCTGCTATTGCACATTTTCTTTCTGCCTGCTGTGGCAAACAGAACTCACAAGTTCACTACACAGGAAGTAGGAGCAGGACGGGCAGGGGTAGGTGGGAGTACCTTGCCTTGGTGGACATAAAGATATAGACTACACTGCTGTACTGTGACCCAGAAATGCTGGCTTTTTCCTATTGCCTTTCTTGTTGATCTGAGTTTTGTTCCATAGATGTAATTGAACCTTGAACGAGGGCTGCAGTGCAAGATGCTGCATGTTCTCTAAGCACAGGCAGAACATGCAGTCTAGCAAGCAAGAAGTACAGAGAACCACATGCAGAGAAACACATTCTTTTTAAAGAGTAACTGAAGCTTGGTGCCCATGGGCAAAGTAGGCACTGATGAATGGATGAGCCAAGTGATGAGGGCAGAGGTTCTGAATGCAGCTGAAGTGTGTGGCAGCTCTGGATTAGCAGCCCTTCCTGCCTGTTGCCCTGAGGGACTTGTGCCACTTGGTGATGCCAAACAGTGACAGCCACGATTGTTCACTGAGGGCACCACTGATTCCAACAGTTTCAAGGAAATATCATCTTCACTTTGCCAGAAGAACTTACACAATGTTGTGGCTTCTGTATTCTTTCATATGTATCTGGCTTTTTCTCTTGAGGACCTGTTCTGATCATATCCCATTTTCAGTCAATTTTCAGGACATAATACTGGATACATGCGAAAATATACTACATGAATGGTTCTGCTAGTGCAATCTGCTTCACAAACATCCCATGAACAGAAGGCCTCCAGTATCCTGACTAGAGTTCAGAGGATCACAAGAGAGTAATTTGCATGTATTTATGAAGCTTCAGGTGCCACCAAGTTGGCAGTTAATATCCTGCTTGTAATTGAAACTGTTCCTTTGCTAAGAGATCTGCAATTATCTATTCTTAACCATTTCTCTATTTATTTTTATGTCACAAGCTATTTTGAGGGCCCCTAGCAGGCAAGAAAGAAATGGTCCCAAGTGTATTCAATCAAAAGAATTACTCTGGAATCATGTTGAGAACTGGCACTTTTAATCCTGGATCTGAATGCCTCAGTCCTTGTCCGTGGCTCAAAATTTTACCTGTCTTCATAACTGCACAGAGATAGGTTATCACTCTCATGAACTTTGAAATCTTTAGATCACCCATGTTAAAAATGTTATTCATTAGGATGAGTTGGTATTTAAGATTGCTGTTTTGAGCTATTCTTGTACATCTCATGCAAACACATGCATATCTTACTTCAGTGTGAAAATCTGAGTAATTATGAAGTCAAATCAAATTAGAATTAATTCTAATTAATTCTGTTTAAGGTTAATGAAACTGATACTGCTTCATTACAATATCAGTTTCTATCCCAGCTTTGAGTTATTATATACTGTAGAAGTTTGACAAAGAAGGTTCTTTGGAGAAGGACTGCCTGTGAGTTGTAATCCAACAACATTACAAGAGAGCATGAGGTTGGAAGCAACTAAAACTTGAATTAACAGCTGCATTATAATAAAGAGGGCAAAGCCACTGCCTCTAAGTTCTTCAAATTCCCTGGTGTTCATGCAGAACTCCTTCCCTGTTGGGAATCATCATGCACAGTTTTGATGTTTGAATTCACACAAAGCGGCTGTTCCCATCCCTGAAATGTATAGGAAGGTCCTCTTCAGTTTATCAGACTTATTCCTAATCCCAACAAGAACAAGAAGTACATTGGCATTCCAGAGGTCAAACTTTCATAGACAAGAACCTGAAGTTTCCAAGATTTCTAAAGACATGTATGGTACAAAGAGAATGTTTAGGTGCCAAAGTTTGAGAATGGAGCCTCTTTAACAAATTTGATCCTGTCTCTTCTTGACATAGGAAAAATTAGTTCTTACTGTCAGCTCTAGAAGTCCACTCAAGTGCTTTGCTTCCTGGGCTCAGAGCTGTAGTCCTTGTGTGCGTGCAGCTGTGGTGTATTGATTCCTGTTACCTAATAATATTGTTAGACTGGATTTCTGGATGGAGTCTAAGATCTCAGTAGCTATGAGTGGGCTTTTAGAATTTATGGTAACAATTGTGCAACTGTACACATGAATTTTATTACTTTGCGGTATGATATCCTTTGTGAGATTTTTTAACGTTGTAGACATTAATTTGTAATATGATTACATATATTTTATATATGACATAATTTTATAGCACAACACTTCCCTTTTAGTCATAATGTGTTCTCAAGATTCTGTGGTGGTAACCTCTTTCCTTTTTGGCTTGTTCAGCTGGTTTGTTCAGCTTCCCACTGTACCTTGCTCTGTTTTCTTTTCCTTTTCCCCCAATATCTACCACCTTCTCACTCCACTTTGGCCACAGGAAAATATATTTCATGTTGAAGGTGCAGACTCTCAAATTTCTAAAAAATCTTCTGACAAAAATCTAAATAACAATAGCGAAGATACAGGCTGGATTCATGGTTGTTTGGTTTTGGTTTTTAATTCAAAACTATGAAATAGTACCTGGCCTTTCTGTAAGCACATATGAGCATTGTTTTAGGAAAAGATTAAGCGGATTAGCTGCAGTATTATTTGCAGGTTTAATGCTCTGAGAGAAGAGTAATTGTCTAATTCCTTTTTTTTTTTTTTTTGCTACAGTAATTAATAAAAGTCAAAGGCAGCAACTGGAATCTGTGAGCTACTCCTCTCGTTACGCTCTGGGCCTTTTTTATGAAGCTGGCACACAGATTGATGTCCCTTGGGCAGCACAGTACATCTCCAATAATCCCTGCATACGCTTCATCTCCATCGATAATAAGAAGCGCAATATAGGTCAGTGCTCCCATTATTTCCTTTAAACACAGTAACAATGGAGGGTGTAGATCATGGCGGGCGGTGGGGGTGTGGAACGCTATCAACTGAGTGTTGCTACTCTGAACGAAGCGAGTCTTGAATGCCATGCTATAAGGGATAAAAAAAATGTAATGTCACATTTGGCCCTGTAATAAAATCTATAATGAAATGTGGGGAGGTTTTCAGTGAAACCATTGCCCAGCTCATTACACCATTTTATGAAACTGGTGTCAGAGATGTTTTGTTTTGTTTGTCTTTTAAGGACCAAACAAAAATGCTGCTGTTCCAGTAAATGCTTTGGTTCTGTTGTTTAAAGGTTTAATTCATGCATTTACCTATTTATTCGACCTTCCATACACAGCATTGCAACTTTTTGTCACACGTCCCCACTGAGCATGCTTGAAGGCAGAAACGAATTATATTGTCATGGCTGTTGAGCCCAGCTCAGTGTCAGCAAATGTGTACAGCAGCCTTCCTCAACCTGTTGCCCTCCATATGTTTTGGACTTCAACTTCTGTCAGGCCTAACTAGCATGGCCTGTGGTCAGAATTGCTGGAAGCTGGCATCCGAAACATCTGGAAGGGTTTGGCAATAGTAGCTGCTGTATCAGACAAGACCGCTTTTATCAAGTGCTGCTTTTGTGGGCATTTTGGGACATACCATTGAAAAGGGTCATGTGTGCCACATTATTAAATACATTAATGTGGGAAAATTCCTGGCTGGAGCTGTGGGATCGGGTGGAGAAGCAATAGGATCTTTTTCATGATTAAATTTCTATATTAATGTTTTTATAGTATCCATTTCCAGAGGGGTAGTCCTGTTAGTCTGATACAGCCAAAACTACAAGGAGTACTACGGCACTTTAGAGAAAAATAAATGTATTGTAGCATTAGTTTTTGTGGGCACTGCCTGCTTCATCAGATGCATGAGGTGTCAACCTCAGGTTGCCAATTTAAGCTGCCGCAAGTCTTTATTTATTTTTAACAATATTGTGTTCTTCAGACAGTCAGTGGGAAGATATTTAGGAGGCACACTTTAGGTCAGTCTTCACCATCATGGTGTCCCCTGCATGTGTTTGACTGCAATTCCACACTGGTTTGGACGTCTGGAATGATGTGAGTTTCAGGCAGTCACATTGGTGAAGGCTGGCTTATATTTTCTCTTATTTTTAAATCAGCTGTGCTGTACCCCAACAGATTTTTGTCCGTGTATCTTGCTAGGTTAGGAAGTGAAGTAAACTGCCTACGTAACCCTGGACAGGTATTGTTAAAGATACATTGTTAAATGCTCTCACTGCACCACACCCCATTAATCAGCTGATGTCCATACCGACAGCATCGATTATTAGAAATGGCAGCTAAGGAAGCCTAGATAAAGCATCCATACTGGTATATAAAGAGATCAGCTTCATCCAATGAACCAACTCAAGTTACTTTTACAGGTATGAGGAGTACCAATGTGTAATGGCATGGTACAAGTAGTGACGTAAACAGCATTGTCTAATTCTGGCCTCCAGACTGAAGGATAAGATGGGAAGTACCATAGCAGTCTGGCGATTTGGGAAGAGAGATTTTCAGCAGGATTGCGGCAGGGAGGAAGAATATTTAACTTGCCCCCTCTTTGCCCCTTCCCTACCTGAATTCCTACTCCATTGCTCCCCCCACCTTTCCTTTTCCTAGACACAAGTGCAAATCATGCGCATTCTATCATTTAACCCAGCATGTAGTTTAACCCCAGAACTCCACAAAGTTATGTTTTTATCATGGGTTCAATGACACAATAACAAAATACATATGCAGATAATAGTGCCTGCACTTCCAAGTTAATTTGGAACTTTTAGACTACCAAAAGACCTTCCATTTCAGCCGGAGTACAGGAGATGCACTGAGCCTTTTCTGGAAGACAAACTGCTAACCCAGAGTCAGGCAAAATGATTCCTTTCCGTTGTTTTTGACTGCAGCATCTGTAAACACCAGTCAGCTTGACCAGTGGTCAGATTATGGGAGTTGTAGTCCAAAATAATTCAAGAGTACATGGTTGCCAGCCTTCCCCTTAACTAACCCATCAACTCCAATGGACTTGAACAATTTGATTTAACACATGCACAACACACTGTAATCGTAAAGCTGTACAGCAAAGATTGTTGATCTGGTAGACTAATGGATGGTGAATTTGAATAATCTGATCTTTTAAAAACACTGACACTTGTTATCTAAACATTTCCAACCCATCTAAGTAGCCCATCTAGCTTACAGTGCAGTTTACCATATATTTATTCTTCATTTTGGTCTTGCTAACTTGCTGTACTTCTGGAAATGTTGCTCTGTGTTCATGTACATGTACTTTTGACTAGGGATGGGAAAAATTATTTTGTTCATATTTTATTGTGAATGTACCTAGTTTTACACTTTCAAACCAATATAAAAAACTGAAATTTACTTAACGCTTGACATTTGAATTGTTCTGCATTTGGAATGGGATACTTCAATTGGTACAAAATAGAGCTGCCAGGCTGCTGACAGGCGCTGGCCATTATTCTCTTATAACGCTGGGCCTCTATCAGCTGCACTGGCTCCCAGTTGAAGCCCAGGCCCAATTCAAGGTGCCGGCATTAACCTATAAAGCCCTAAACAGTTTGGGACTAGGATACCTGAGGGAACGTCTCCTTCCCTACATGTCCTCACGTCCCTTAGGATCAGCAGGAGAGGCCTTGCTCCGAGAACCCTCTTTGAAGGAGGTATGGAGGATGTCTACCCGGAGGAGGGCCTTCTCCGTGGTGGCGCCCAGACTATGGAATGCACTCCCCAGAGACATTCACCTGGCGCTGACTTTATACTCTTTTTGGCGCCAGGTAAAGACCTTTTTATTTAGCCGTCATTTTAATAATTAAGGATATCAGATGTTTTAAGATCTGATCACAGTCACATTTTCTTTTCTTTTTTCTTACTTTCTTCCTTTTCTTTAGTTTTATGAAGGCATCTGTTTTATGTTTGTCTATTATCTATTATTTTAATTTTTGTATTATTATATTACTATTTTAATCATTGTAAGCCATCGTGAGATGTTTTATCAGGAAGGATGGGATAAAAATGTTTTAAATAAATTCTTCAATTAAAAATACGTACAATACACACACACATTTAAAATGCATTATATTAGGATAAGGGCTTGCAAAATGGATTGTTCATACAAAAATATGCATGAGGAAAAATATGTAGGAAAAAACATGTGCAAATGTAAACAAAACCCTTCAGAGTTCAGCTATACCTAAAATAGGGGAATTCTCTATACAGTTTGAGATGAACTGTATTTTAGATTGGAAGAATTAGAAACCAGGCAAATATAATTTGCAAACAAATATAATATGGTTTGTTTATCCTTACCTTTTGCAACAGATTAAAACTCTATGCTTAAAAATGCAATTGGTCCCATGTATCTAGTGAATAAAGCTTTTTGGAATCTGCTTTTATGATTGCCTCTACAAAAGGTACCAATTACTTTGGTGGGCAAAATCATAACTAACTTAAGGCCACCACATCCCCCTCAATCTTTCTGTAGTAGGTGTGCTTGTGCAGCATATTTGTGTGTGTGTGTGTGTGTGTGTGTGTGTGTTCTTATTTTTCTTTACTTCTGATGCCCTCTTCAATAGAATTCTGCCTAGACTTTGTATTACAAAACTCTCTTCTCTGCATGACTGAACTGACAATTGCCTTGTTCCAACACACGGAGACTGTAGGTTGTATCCAAGACTGGTTCTTTCAGGTAAATTTTGCTACGCTCTTGAAAAGATGCCTTTGAAGCAGCAATTCACACTGAAAAGGTTAGGCCAAGATCTGTGGTCACTGAAGCCTCTGCTGTTTAAGGACACAGCGGTAGGCCATCTGCCAGAGTAGTCTGTCGCTTTGCTCCTACCCGTTTCACCTTTGGCCCTATATCAGCAGCACCCCTAATGAATGCAACTGCCATATAGGTCATCTCAGGAGGCTATTGGAGGTGCAGTTTACCAGGGGCATGGAAGGTCAAGATCTCAGCCTTGACCTAAATCCAGTATTGAACGAAGTGCACTGAAGCATGAGGAGCACCAGAGTGATCTGCCTGCTGTTTCATAAATGGGTGGCTGATACGTTCCTCTTAATTTATACTAACCTGACTAATATGCTTCCCAGACGTCATCTCTTTACTCAGATTTATGCAAAATGAAAATTGCATGAATTTACTATGGTTCTGGAGAAAACAATACAGTGTCTTACACTGTTGGATGACTAATGGCATCGTAAAATAAATCAACCAGTGAGTAAGACCCATTGATCTCGCTGTGACTTATTTCTGAGTAAATGTCAATAGAATTGCACTGCAATTTTGTTTTCTGTTGTAATTCTGCATTTGTAACTCAACTGGTATCCAAAGGCTCTTCTTGGGATATGGATAGGGCACCTACCTAATTATTGGCATGGTTATACAATAAATCACCACTAGAGAACTTGAGTTCTTGGGTGGTTCAAAAGTACAATTACTTAATAATAAACAAACTATTTCTGTGTCTCCCTATTCCATCAAATTACCTTGTCTTGTTTTGTTTTATCTGTTTGAGAGCTGTATATCCCATCCTTTAAAAAATGTTTCAAAAATGTCTTCCCAGTTTTCACGTAGCACCTTTTAGACTTCTTCCCCGTCTTGCACCACACTGTAGATGGTATGATAGAAGAGAGCTTTTAACCTCCCAGCTTATTAATTTTGTATTTAGCATTAGATCACATGCACTGTGGTCATTTCCACAGGAAGCATTTAGATATTATATTACATTGTTACACATATGATATTAAAATATGAGAATTAGCCTTGAGGCTATCTTTTCCAGTGGGTTTACTTTTCATTTGAATCCTGCCCATTACTCTTTCAATCCATCAGCATTCATCAAAAAATCTTGCTTGGCTAGCTTAATGTCTGGTCCTTTATCTTGTTAGCCTTTTTTTATTTGT